CATGTAGATACGTAAGAATTTAGTGGTATGTAAGTAAATCTTCTTTGATTCATCTGTAATTGAAAGTCGATGCTTGGATGGAGCGCATTGTTATAGCACAAGGGTAGTGGAATAAAAGTTATGTGAACATGGGAGGCTCGTGGTACTTAGATGTTGAGCCTTTGGCATATTTCAAATTTTAATGATGGAGCCTAACGTGGCTCCACAAACTTTATTTTTATTTGATTTAGGCCCCTTTTGGAACAGCTTAAAATAGTGGGCGGCATTTTTGAAAACGCCGCTTACTGTTTGAATAACACGTTTACACTGCGTGCTGGAAATCGCGAATTTTATTTTACGAATAACGCTGCCCGCGGGATCATACCGGCGGTCGGCGTTTCCTCCTCGCGTTTTCTCCTGAATTACTCCGCTACCCTCGCGATCGAGCTCCTGCCCTTGCGCCTCTCGGATTCGGCATTTCTTCCTCCTTCGTTCGCGATCGAGCTCGCAGACCCGCTCCCTGCTTCGTTCGCGATCTAAGCTGCTACTCGCCTCTCGATTAGATTCCCTTTCAGTTTTGTCTCCGTTCGGATCAGTTCTCTCCAGGGAAGGAAAGAATTGTAGCCCTTTCCTTCCTCCTCTCGATTCGCTATTCCAGTGCTCCCAAGGACTGTTGAGTCTCTGGCTGGTTCAAGGGGCCCGAAAACGATTCTGCTGCCGCCGAGAAGATTTTTGATACTAACAGAGTTCTCCTATGATCTCAATAAGAGCAATGCACAGACCTTTCCCATCTCTACTGCTGATTCAAGCATCATCAACATGGTCAGGCTCTTCACCTCCAACCATGGCAGCCCGAGCCCCACCTGCATTTATCGACTCTTGCAGACCTTTCCCATCTCTACTGCTGATTCAAGCATCATCAACATGGTCAGGCTCTTCACCTCCAACCATGGCAGCTCGAGCCACACCTGCATTTATCGACTCTGGGTGCACGGCTTCGAGCCCAGCTCTCCGCTAGCTACTACGACGGAGCAACCTTGAGCGAGAGAAAACCACTAAGAGAGTGGTACTGTGCACTTTCTTTATTTTGTTTTTTTATATAGTTTGATCAGATATGTTTAGGTTTCTGGTTGTAGAATCCCCAATTATCTTATTAATACACTTCTTTAGTTAAAGGTTTAGGAGGTGACATATTGGAATTGATGTTTGTATGTTTTAGCTGACACATTTTTTCCCTTGCTATTTTTTGCTGGCTTTTTTGACCATAACATCAGGCTTAATGAATGTCATTCAGGTTTAAGTATTGGTTGTGGATGTAATTGATTTTCTCATGTTTATAATTCACAATCATGAAAAATAATTTGGATAATTACATACAAACCACCCGAAACATTGATATTTACGGATTAATCACCCAAGTGATTTTTTTGAACTGTATGCAGATGTATTTATACGTGTCACGATCAAATCATTGAGAGTTTGATAAAAATGAAAAATACGGGTTGGGGTTTTACCACGAGTTTTGTATATGTCGTTGTGTTTATTTGATGTAATCAGAACTTTTTTGAGCTATATAAATATTATTAAACTTTTTTGCATTTTCATTCCTTGACATTTGAGAAAATAGCATTCTGCTACACAAATTATTCATTGAACTAAAAAAAATTTCAAATAAGCTGTTTACAAGACGCACAAACCAAACAACCAGACAGCTTATCTGAATCAACTGGTCATCAACAGATTATCAGGATAAACTGCTTATCAGCAGAAGCTGAATAAACTACAGCTGCCCCAAACAGACCCTTAGTGTGCCGACCAAGTTTTAGAAGTTGGGTAATTTATATACGATTTGGTATATATTATATTTGAATTACTTGCGCATTAATAATTTGTGCTTCTTGAGTTTCTAAAATTTAGCCGAATTTTGAATGCCTTGATGAATGGTGATATGAATTTATTTTTTCTTTTTCTGTAAAGATGGCAATGGTGAGGGCTTTCAAGGCAATAGACAAATACATTTAGTGCAAGTGCAATGCCAATTTTTAAAATTTTATTCTAAATAATGAAATTTAAAATTCAATAAAAAGTAAATATAATTTTCGCTCACTCTCATCGCAGCTTCACTACCAACAAGTAAGAGACTTGGAGGGGGGGGGGGGGG